TTAATACTTTAAACAGGTCAAATTTAATGCTTTAAACAGATAAAACTTAATGCTTAAACAAGATAAAATTTAATGCTTTAAGCAGGTAAAACTTAATGCTTTAAGCAGGAAAAATTGAATGTTTTAAACTGGTAAAAATTAATGCTTTAAAATGGTAAAGCTTAATGCTTTAAACAGGAAAAATTTAACGCTTTAAACAGGTAAAATTTAGTGCTGTAAACTGGTAAAATTAAGTGCTTTAAACTGGTAAAACTTAATGCTTTAAACAGGTAAAATTTAGTGTTGTAAACTGGTAAAATAAAATTAGTGTTTTAACCTGGTAAAACTTAATGCTTAAAGCAGGTAAAACCAAGTATAATGCTCCTGATGACAATGATCAAATATTTCATGCATTATGACTTGCTTTTGGCTCGTGCAAAAGGTTACCACTCTGCAATAAATGTATACAAATATTGTTTGATTTTTTACATATACGTCAGTTCCTATGTATATATTAATACATAGGATATATGTATGTATATGCATGCATGCTTGAAATGCATGTAAAAATATAGCCGATAAAAGTCAATTTAATAATTATAATATATTCATTCTCATTCACGTAATGATACATTCTTGCACTCGTGTGTGAACATGAAAATACTGCACTTGTATATATATCTTTACTTACCAGACAGCCCCGCTCCTGTGCCAGGTAAGTCCACTACGGGCTCACCATAGCCCGTGCTACTTGCAACTTGTGTTTTGAGCAGCTGAATCTAAAACAGCGACGTACTTACCTTGGTATTATGTAGTCGTTTGGGACACGCATGGGAAGGAGGCGAGGCTTCTGGAGGTCTTATTATTTCCAACGTCAACTTTTTCAATCTTATTCCAGACCATCTTGGCTTGCTGTTGAAGTTTGAGGTTTTGCAACCATTATTATTATTGTCTTGATTGATATTACCTGTAGTTTTGGCATATTTCTGGTCTATTTTAGTGTGGAGTGAGAGAGTGATTTTCGTGTTGGGGTATTGGAGATACGGGGCCAGAATAACGAAGCAGTTACGCAAGCACTTACGAACCTGTACATCTTTTCTCAATCTTTGACGGCTTTATTTACAATTATTAGACAGTTAATGAGCTCTGAATCACCAGGAGGCTGTTTATAACAATAACAACAGTTGATTGGCAAGTTTTCATGCTTGTAAACTGTTTAATAAAGGTAACCAAAGCCGCCAAAGATTGAGAAAAGATGTACACGTTCGTAAGTTCTTGCGTAACTGCTTCGTGAATCTGGCTGCTGGTCGTTCAGCGGGGGAGGTGGCTTTTAAATGTCCTCGTGCGAGTGTCACGTGAAATTCTGTGTGTGTCACACTCTTAAGTGGCAGTGTGACAGTTTAGGAGTGACAGTAACCCGTGCCAGCAGACAGGTGCTGTTCCCGCTGGCTGCTTCACTACTCTCGTCTTGTCAATATTGACTCGTTATGTTTTCTCTCTCTCCTTTTCACTTACTCATTTCCGCACGTAATTATTCACATCCTTTTTTCTTATTCACACTAGTTCTATCTTTTCTTTCCCTTCCTATCAGAGATTATCGGCTACATATTATTATATATATTTCTGCCCGAAACGCTGCGCGTACTAGTGGCTTTACAAGATTGTAATTACTATCCTATGTATCCTCACACTCCCAATGTACCTTCTTGTATATATATATATATATATATATATATATATATATATATATATATATATATATATATATATATATATATATATATATATATATATATATATATATATATATATATATATATATATATATATATATATATATATATATATATATATATATATATATATATATATATATATATATATATATATATATATATATAAGTAAATAAATAAATAAATATATAAAAACACTTGGTGCGGGTGGCGGGTGGCGGGCGCCCTGAGTGTAAACATTGACCGCCGCGGATATTAGCAACCACAAACCGCTCTCTACGTCTGAATTCAAATAATTATTGCACTTTAACAATGATTATCACTGCACTAAACACTTATTAACACTGTAGTCCATGCAAGGTTCTCGTGGGCTCGTTAATCCCCGTAAATAAGGCAGGTGATGAGCTAGGCGCCGCGGCCGGCCAGTCACTCTTCTCGCGCCCAAATATAGCCTCTTCTCGATATATAACAATTATTGATAATAAATATAACACATATATTATTCCACTCTGCAAAAAAAATTTGCTTTATTTTATATTTATAATTTGTTTCATTTAAAACATATAAAAGGTTTAATTTTTCGTAGCATTTTACACCAAACGTTCGATTTGTGGCAGGATCGAACACTTCAGGAAACAGCTGTAAAGTCTATGCCTTAAAGTTAGACTGATAATTACTCTTCATTACAGACGCTTATGAAGCAACTGTTTAAGGCTGTACCCTGGAAATGGTCAGTCGTTGGCCACTATGGTGATGATGGCTTTAAGGGTGATTCAAGTAATACCGTAATATGCATGAGGCTTTGTTGACATAGCCTATAGTGGTGGTGGTTAAATAAAACAAAACTTCAGTACAAAGCATTTACATTTGCCTTACAACAAACAAGATAAATGGACACCTATATACGATAAGTGTCCATTTTTCCATTCATAATGAACATTCCAAGCAGCACCATGATGGTTTTGGCTGGGATATCGATATCTATGGCAGGTGGCTGCTTGTAATGAATCCCCCCGTGTTGAACAGTTCAATTGTAAACTATGTGAACAAGAACTGACACACTCCCTCGGGGGGCCTCGTAGCCTGGTGGATAGCGCGCAGGACTCGTAATTCTGTGGCGCGGGTTCGATTCCCGCACGAGGCAGAAACAAATGGGCAAAGTTTCTTTCACCCTAAGTGCCCCTGTTACCTAGCAGTAAATAGGTACCTGGGAGTTAGTCAGCTGTAACGGGCTGCTTCCTGGGGTGTGTGTGTGTGGTGTGAAAAAGAAAAAAAAAAAAAAAAAAAAAAAAAGTAGTAGTAGTTAGTAGACAGTTGATTGACAGTTGAGAGGCGGGCCGAAAGAGCAAAGCTCAACCCCCGCAAAACACAACTAGTAAACACAACTAGTAAACACTCCCTGTGATTGCCCTGTTATCAGTGACTTCAGACCTAACGGTATGAGGTACTTTGAGCTCTGTAATTACGTAATACACGCAGGAATATAGGAAGATATTATTGTGCTGTACCCAGATTTTGCTAGTGGAGGCAAATAGATCAGCCTTACATTTCATGTTCTCTCCTGATTCCATGTATGCCTGGCTGTCCTGTGAGGTGGGGATGTTGGATGAGCTTGTAACTAGTTTTTGATCTACACTATGTAATCTTTCATATAGAATAGGGTAGCAGCACATGGCTGTGTGTATACCTAAACTTAAAAAAAAAAAATTCTTCTTTTATTTGCACTTGTAGATGCTGCCAAAAAACCTTCTGCCAATTTCCTATATTCTTATGAAACCTTAACTACAATATTAAATAAATGTTCTTTCCAAAATATAATATATAAACGGATATAGTTTTTGTACAAAGTGTTTGAATAACACAAAAGGAATATGGCTGCCACATCACGCCAGCATAGCCAGCTAATCGTATCTTTTTAGCTGTGTATTATTTGTCATTAACTCAGTAGTAGTCAGCTTCGCTCGCGACTCACAATCAGGAATCCCGGGTTTCGACGGTCGGGACAGAAATGTCTGGGCACGTTTGCCCTGTTCACCTAGCAGTAAATAGGTACCCGGGAGTTGGTCAGCGTGTTGTGGAATGCATCCGGGGGAGACCTTGCGCCCTACGCCTTGCCGTTGTCTCATAATGGTCAATGTTATGTCTGCCACTCTAGGAGGGAAGACCATCATGCATCGCTCTGGTACTGTCAGCTAACACACACTATCCCGCGAACAAATCCACAAGGGCCGTGACGAGGATTCGAATCTGCATCCGGGAGCATCCCAGACGCTGCCTTAATCGACTGAGCAACGACATGGTCAAAAAGAGTTGAAACCGAAGTTCTACTGAACTATCCTGTGATGCAGAGCTCACTTGTCCTTAGATATTAAACGCCAGGATCTTTCTGATAATAAAAGCCTTCTTAAGTGTATTAATGAAACCACAGACCTGGGTGTTAGTCAGCTGTCACGGGCTACTTCCTGGGGGTGGAGGCCTGGTCGAGGACCGGGCCGCGGGGACACTAAAGCCCCGAAATCATCTCTAGATAACCTAACTCATTGTGCTGAGTTGCCGTCATTCACTAAATGGTATGTCTGCGCAAATATTTGTCTAAAGATAGCTAGCTATGTAGTTTTTGTACATTTAAACCCCAGAACCTTATGAAATTAATAGTTCACAACCACAGGTGAAGTTGTTCTAAAACATTCCCCAGTTCCTTTATATTTATGTAAACATTAATAAATGATTATTTATTTGATACTATTTACAGAGTATACTCAAGTGAGTGTTATTAAGCACATTTCAGTCATTACAAGAGTACACGGATGACACCAACAGTACTCAGAGGGTCCACGGAGGGAAGAAAGTAGTCACCCTCTGGTTTACAGAGTACCAGTGACGTAGAGGGTTACCTACTTGTCTCAGCTCCTTGACCCTGGTCCCTAGAAGAGACCATAAGTCCCGTCCACATAGTCCCTAGTCCCCCGTCCAACCCGTTCTCGCACTTGCTTATAGTCAATATTGGCTTATTTAATAAGTACATATGTGACATACTAATTGATGGTGAATATTTTAGTTTACCTTGAAAATCTTCATAGAAAACACCGACCTCACCTAACCTTCTTAGTATGTTAAGATAAGCATCTTATTGCTTCTTATTTACAATTATTACTTAACCTATCAACGGTATAGGTTAAGTAATAATTGTACCCCCGTCCCCATAGCCTCATAGCTCATAAGCCCCGTCCACACCCTGAGGGCCGTGTTAACTTCACAAACAAAATGGGTCAAGCATAAAAGTCGTGTGAGTTTTTCAACGAGTTTATTTGTTAACAAACATACAAATGAAGCCTGCTCCACGGGTGGTCATTCTCGCATAGGGCGCCCCACACACCACCTCGCCTATGACGTCATCACTGGCATAGTAACCCCTACCAATGACGTCATAATAGGCAGTGACCCCTACCAATGACGTCATAACAGGCATAGTGACCCCTACCAATGACGTCATCACTGGCATAGTGACCCCTACCAATGACGTCATCACTGGCATAGTGACCCCTACCAATGACGTCATCACTGGCATAGTGACCCCTACCAATGACGTCATCACTGGCATAGTGACCCCTACCAATGACGTCATAATAGGCATAGTGACCCCTACCAATGACATCATAATAGGCAGTGACCCCTACCAATGATGTCATAACAGGCATAGTGACCTCTACGAATGACGTCATAACAGGCATAATGACCCCTACCAATGACGTCATCACAGGCACATGATCACATCGATGATTATATCGTTAAGGTAATGGGCAGACTGATGACGTATCATCACCATTCAATGGGCATGTAGTTGACATCATCACAAGGTTATGCATCACTGATGAAGTCAGCATACCAATGATGACTTCATCTTAGGCACATGGCTCCACTGACGTCAACATTACCACATGACACCACTGATAACATCAACATAACCACATGACATCACTGATAACGTCACCATACCCACATGACACAACTGATAACATCACCATAACCACATGACATCACTGATAACGTCACCATACCCACATGACATCACTGATAACGTCACCATGCCCACATGACACCACTGACAGCATCAACATAACCACATGACATCACTGATAACGTCACCATAACCACATGACATCACTGATAACGTCACCATGCCCACATGACACCACTGACAGCATCAACATAACCACATGACATAACTGATAACATCAACATAACCACATGTCATCACTGATAACATCAACATACCCACATGACACAACTGACAGCATCAACATAACCACATGACACCAGTGATGATGTCAACATTACCACATGACATCTCTGATGACGTCAACATATGCATCATATGACATCAGTAATCTTAAACGTGCTTTAAACCATTAGATCTGGGCTATTTCTCTACTTTTCTAAAAGGCAGAAAAATATACTTTGTACGCCTCGCTCATGTTCCTTTACAATGACGACTTTTCATGGTGAACTTAAGAATTCTTTCCTAATTCTTAGCAGTAGAAGTTTATAAATGCCTTAAACCTAATTTAATGCACATTAATAATCAATTTCTACTTTACACAATTTTTATTATAAAAACATGTTTTAATAAATGATCACAAGAGACATATAACTTTAATTTTTGAACAGCTGTGACGTATACACTTATTTTGTATTGGAGGCCACGATATATTCACACCTGCTGTATCTCAGAGCAGAATACAACACCAGCTGTATCTCAGGGCAGAATACAACACCAGCTGTATCTCAGGGCAGAATACAACACAAGTACTCAAGACATTGAGGCTCTACAACAGGCGCAGATATTCCCAGGTTAGGAAGGAATATTTATTCAGATATTCCCAGGTTATTCCCAGAATATTCCCAGGATATTCCCAGGTTATTCCCAGGTTATTCCCAGAATATTCCCAGGATATTCCCAGGTTATTCCCAGGTTATTCCCAGAATATTCCCAGGATATTCCCAGGTTATTCCCAGGTTATTCCCAGAATATTCCCAGGATATTCCCAGGTTATTCCCAGGATATTCCCAGCACAGAGAGGGAGGAGAGTGTAGAACCCCCCCCCCCCCTGAACCCAGTTAGACGTCTGGTCCGGGGTGGCTGATATGATCTTAGTCTACAGCCAGTCATTTTGCCTGGAAGGGAGGGGGGAGGGGATTACCAGGGGGAAAGCGCTAAGCCATTACGACTATATGGCACCTTGGAAGGGATCAGGATAAGTATTTGGGATGGGACGGAGGGATGGAATGGTGTCCAACCACTTGGACGGTCGGGGATTGAACGCGGACCTGCATGACGCGAAACCGAGGTTCGGGGTGGGTGAGGGAGACTCAACTCTTCCCTGTCACTTTCATCACATTTAAGGCATCAGGTGGGATAGCAAAACATTTTCTCACACAAAAAAAAGAGATGACAACCTGTTCCCCCGTTGATTAATGTATATAGAAACACTGAGATAAGGACTGTTCCTGAACAAATAGCCTGGATGTGTCACAACGGAAAGGTTGATGATATTCTTGAGAGATATAAGAATTTTGCACCAAGATTGTAATATTTTGTTGAATTATCTGCAGGTGTCTTGCAAATTGTCTATACAGTATACCTAGGTCATAAAAGTATTTGTGTGTACGTCTGATAACATACTCCTTGTGAAGGAGGAAATGTATATGTTTACCTCTCAGAATGTTTGGCAATATGTTTATTTGTGATGTGTGTCTATGTATGTATTAACACGATGTACTGAACGGGGTGAGAATAGCTTGAGCTACCTCATCCCTTTGTGTGTATTTTACCTCAATAAACTTATTTCAATTTCAATTTCAACCTGTCCCCGTCACATTATAGAAGGAATATGCCATCAACCTGAACCTGGCGGGATATTTAGCCACAATTATTGGGATAAGGTGAAGAGAGCAAGTGTTAAAATCCACCTTAATAGAGCCTCGCATTTTGACGTATTTTAGCCCTTACCAAGGGCCAAAAATTGTCGTACTAGAAAATTGTAGCGGCTGGCGAAGTTGACATCCTGTTCCGTTTTCTGTTTTGGGTCCTCTGGTAGGTAAAGATAAGGGCACTTTAGTACGAAAGTTTCTTGATGTTGGGAACCTTAGGAGGACGGGCTGCTCCCTCCGTCAGCTAACGGAGGGAGCAGAGGGGAGTGTGTACTGATGCAGGAAATAAGAGAGAAGCAAGTAACGTTGAGGTTGAGTGGAGAAGAGCAGCAAGCCGAGGACGTTATTTGCGAAGAGACCTGAGTGAAGGCGGGAGGAGGCCTTTAGTGTCGAAGGTGACGGAGGAGATCATGCCCTTGGTGGGGGACCAGACGCCGAAGTACTGGATGGGCTGCCCCCGTACTTCCCTAGGCACCGACAGCACCAGGCTCCTCTGTGTGTACTTCTTGAGTGGCTCCAACGACCCTTTCTCGTCCAGCACTTGAGAACCGCTGGACTGCGCGTCCCCGCTCCCCAGCACAAAGATGGCGTCTGAGGAAGACACATACAATCATCTCCACTCCCACATATATCTCGTAAACTTAACAAGAAAAAAACTGATAATATATTAAAACAGATATGAATTTTTAACATTCTTTTTCAATATACAATTTTAGAAATAATACTCAATAGATTTAGAATGTCAGGTAATAAATACTGGCACAACATGGGTTATCTTGAGGTTATCTTGAGATGATTACCTTAATAACTTACCTTAATTTAACTTACCTTAATAACTACAAGAAGTTAGACTCATACCTCCATTATGGTTAACAATATGTGTAAATATACGATATATATATATATATATATATGTCGTACCTAGTAGCCAGAACTCACTTCTCAGCCTACTATTCAAGGCCCGATTTGCCTAATAAGCCAAGTTTTCCTGAATTAATTTATTTACTATAATTTTTTTCTTATGAAATGATAAAGCTACCCTTTTCACTATGTATGAGGATAATTTTTTTTTATTGGAGTTAAAATTAACGTAGATATATGACCGAACCTAACCAACCCTACCTAACCTAACCTAACCTATATATATAGGTAAGGTTAGGTTAGGTAGCCAAAAAAAGCTAGGTTAGGTTAGGTTAGGTAGGTTAGGTAGACGAAAAAACATTAATTCATGAAAACTTGGCTTATTAGGCAAATCGGGCCTTGCATAGTAGGCTGAGAAGTGAGTTCTGGTTACTAGGTACGACATATATATATATATATATATATATATATATATATATATATATATATATATATATATATATATATATATATGTCGTACCTAGTAGCCAGAACGCACTTCTCAGCCTACTATGCAAGGCCCGATTTGCCTAATAAGCCGAGTTTTCATGAATTAATTGTTTTTCATCAACCTAACCTACCTAACCTAACCTAACCTAACTTTTTTTGCTACCTAACTTAACCTAACCTATAAAGATAGGTTAGGTTAGGTTAGGTAGGGTTGGTTAGGTTAGGTCATATATCTACGTTAATTTTAACTCCAATAAAAAAAAATTGACCTCATACATAATGAAATGGGTAGCTTTATCATTTCATAAGAAAAAAATTAGAGAAAATATATTAATTCAGGAAAATTTGGCTTATTAGGCAAATCGGGCCTTGCATAGTAGGCTGAGAAGTGCGTTCTGGCTACTAGGTACGACATACATATATATATATATATATATATATATATATATATATATATATATATATATATATATATATATATATATATATATATATATATATATATATGACAGTGTCAGACCACGAAGGAAGAATTGAAACGGGAATTTCCTTAACAACTTTCGTATATAATAATACATCTTCAGAAGGGTCTTCATCTTCACCCTTCTCAAGATGTATTATTAAATACGAAAGTACTTAAGGAAATATTCTTGTTTCAGTTCTTCTTTCGTGGTCTGACACCGTCACATTTTTCATCACGTGTTAATTTTCGTGATATACACACATATATTTATATATATATACATACAAATTTTAGAAGTATATTTATATATATATATATATTTATAACAATATCAATATATATCTAATCAGCTGAACAATGTTATATTTCATCCATCTCCCACTCGTTATCCCGCTAGGTCACTGTTCACCTAGCAGTAAACAGGTACCTGGGAGTTAGACAGCTGCTACGGGCTGCTTCTTGGGGGAAGTGTAACAAAAAGGAGGCCTGGTCGAGGACCGGGCCGCGGGGACGCTAAGTCCCGAAATCATCTCAAGATAACCTCACACACACAGTTGTATGTGTGTGTGGGAGCGAGTTAGCACTGTGTTAGTTGTACGGTGCCAACATCTCAAGAAGCACATCAATATGCCGAAACAACCGGCATATTGAGGCGGGACCAAAGAGCCAGAGCTCAACCCCCGCAAACACAACCAGGTGAGTACACACACACTAACCTGGAACAGTTCTAGTTTAGTTCATTTATTATGCACCCCATACCCATCTTGTGGGCGGTAGTGGAAAGGGTTACAGAGGCACATAATGGGCTCAGGGACTGAACCCCACAATTCATTTAGCTAAGCAAGTTACAATCTTTTTGAGCTAGTTACAACATTCAATATAAGTCGTCACATCAAGAATGGGTTCGAGACTAACCTGGAACAGTTGCGTCGAAGGTGAAGTCATTGACCTTGATGGTGTCAGTGTCGACCACGGTGACGGAGGAGGCGGCCAGCGCTGGCTTGTCACTGTGTAGGCCCGTAGCCACCTGTGGCGCCGGCTTCACCAGGCCCGGGGGCACAGTCACGTGTCCGAAGTCAATCTGCACCCACACAAACACTTTTACTTTAGCTAAGTTTATTTATTATGCATCTTCAGACCCCTTCCTGTGGGGGGGGGGGGCATGGGACCCCCAGACCCCTCCTGTGGGAGGGGGGGCATGGGACCCCCAGACCCCTCCTGTGGGAGGGGGGGGCATGGGACCCCCAGACCCTTCCTGTGGGAGGGGTATGGGATCCCCAGACCCCTTCCTGTGGGAGGGGGGGGGGGGTATGGGACTCCCTGACCCTTCCTGTGGGAGGGGGGGGCATGGGACCCCCAGACCCTTCCTGTGGGAGGGGTATGGGATCCCCAGAACCCTTCCTGTGGGAGGTGGGGGGGGTATGGGACCCCCAGACCCTTCCTGTGGGAGTGGTATGGGACCCCCAGATCCTTCCTGTGGGAGGGGTATGGGATCCCCAGACCCTTCCTGTGGGAGGTGGGGGGGGTATGGGACCCCCAGACCCTTCCTGTGGGAGTGGTATGGGACCCCCAGATCCTTCCTGTGGGAGGGGTATGGGACCCCCAGATCCTTCCTGTGGGAGGGGTATGGGACCCCCATACACTTCCTGTGGGAGGGGGGGCGGTATGGGACCCCCAGACCCTTCCTGTGGGAGAGGTATGGGACCCCCAGACCCTTCCTGTGGGAGGGGTATGGGACCCTCAGACCCTTCCTGTGAGAGGGGGGCATGGGACTCCCAGATCTTCCTGCGGGAGGGGTATGGGACCCCCAGATCCTTCCTGCGGGAGGGGTATGGGACCCCCAGATCCTTCCTGTGAGAGGGGTATGGGACCCCCAGATCCTTCCTGTGGGAGGGGTATGGGACCCCCAGACCCTTCCTGCGGGAGGGGTATGGGACCCCCAGGCCCTTCCTGTGAGAGGGGTATGGGACCCCCAGATCCTTCCTGTGAGAGGGGTATGGGACCCCCAGATCCTTCCTGTGGGAGGGGTATGGGACCCCCAGATCCTTCCTGTGAGAGGGGTATGGGACCCCCAGGCCCTTCCTGTGGGAGGGGTATGGGACCCCCAGATCCTTCCTGTGGGAGGGGTATGAGATCCCCAGGCCCTTCCTGTGGGCGGTACTGCCACAGGTTACAACATATAATGGGCTTGGAAACTGAACTCCAAAATTGGTCTAGCTAAACAAGTTACAGTGTTGATAATGACCGAGTTACAGTTCTGATAATAGTTACACAGTGTTCTTGTAGAGCACAATAGGTTCAAGACGTGGACCACGGAGAGACAGAGACATTAACAGTCATCCAAGTTACAGTTACACGAGGTCTTTGTGAAGCTGGGCATCGTTTACCTATGCTCCTCATATATAGGAAACAACATTTAAATTATAAGCAATAATCATCTTAAATGATCCTAAACTACTTATATTTATTTCTCTACGATCCTCTTTAAGGAGTATAAGTGTAATCAATGCTATTTATACCATAAATGATGTTTATCGTTAATTAATATCGATAATTATCTTAATGTTAATATATCTGTCTCTGCGTTGTCTCGGGATCATGAAGTGGGTAGAATGTAATTATGTGTTAATTACATAACACATAATTACATTCTACCCATTTCACGACCCCGAGCCAATGCAGAGGTTATCTTGAGTTGATTTCGGGGCTTTAGTGTCCCCGCGGCCCGGTCCTTGACCAGGCCTCCACCCCCAGGAAGCAGCCCGTGACAGCTGACTTAACACCCAGGTACCTATTTACTGCTAGGTAACAGGGGCATTCAGGGTGAAAGAAACTTTGCCCATTTGTTTCTGCCTCGTGCGGGAATCGAACCCGCGCCACAGAATTACAGGATCCAATGCCTCTGCCTTAGGAACACAGGCAGCCACCAGGATATAAGCTGCCCATGTTGATACAGTCAATACCCCATCAATCTCCCCCTATATGTTATGCCATTCATCCACTCGTGCTTTACCACCACGCCCAAAGAGAATATAAGTCTGTGCTAAACTTGGTAAACTTCACGGGAGACATCTCCCGTCACGCAGGGTGCAGTCGCACCTCCACAGATCTCCAGTATCATCTATTGATACTGGAAATGGCTCAAAAGGGCCACCACTTATGGGCTATTCATGCCCGTGCCACCTTTTGGGTGGCTTAATCTTCTCTCTCTCTCTCTTTCTCTCTCTCTCTAGGTGAACTTGTCTTTGAGAATATAAGGAGTGACCTTGTAAAACGCATTCCTAGGCATAAGACCGAAATAAAAAGTGTGAAAATGAACTTTGAAGAGTTAATTTTTCAACTTCCCTCGACAGTGAAGAAGAACATAAGAAATAGTGAGAAGATTCGTGTTAGAATCGTTAATCTAACTCCTTCAGTCATATTAAACATATGTTTACAAGAAAGACTGCTACCAAAATATACTAATATATGGCCTGTGATATATGTCCTGTAATATATGTAAGAGTAATATGTTACAGATGTCCTGTGACATCTTGCTGATGTCACAGGAAGCTATGATGACCAAGCCACACATTAGAAAATGGAGAAACGACGACGTTTCGGTCCATCCTGGACCTTTCACACACGACCTGACAATGGTCCAGGACGGACCGAAACGTCGCTGTTTCCCCATCTTGTGATGTGTGGTTTGGTCACCAGCGAAACATGGGTTCGTATCCTGGCCGGGAGGATTTACTGGGCGCAATTCCTTAACTGTAGCCTCTGTTTAACGCAACAGTAAAATGTGTACTTGGATGAAAAAACGATTCTTCGCGGCAGGGGATCGTATTCCAGGGACCATAGGATTAAGGACTTGCCCGAAACGCTACGCGTACTAGTGGCTGTACAAGAATGTAACAACTCTTGTATATATCTCAAAAAAAAAAAAAAAAAAACACATCTGTTCCCAGAAAGCATCGGCATAGGAACCATTCAGTTAAACTAGGATGTGACCAATGGAATGACATTGCAGCAGTTTTATTAAAAGAAATATAATTTAATCTAATCTCATAATTTAAACCAATAATACACTGAATATGAGCTCAGGAGTTTTTAAAATAAACTCATTACTTGCATCTAAGAAACTAATATATTGGTACTAAAAGTTCCTCCTAGCCACTCGCCCTTGTGCAGTTGTGTTAAGCGTTGCTCCTGTCATGTAAAATAGTGATTTTTGTGGTCCTCTAAAATGTTGTTTTCTTAATTGTTATTACTAATACGTTTCAATGTATAACCGAGGCTGTGAAATTATTTAGTATGCCCATTAATTGTTGGGCCGTTTTCTAAAATGGAACGTTTTCTATATTACGTATTCAGGGGACAGGCAGTCTGTGCATATATACCTTATGCTTATATCAATGTCCCCGCAAGGTCGAACTACTCACCCTCCAAGGATCCAACCACACAAGAAGCTGACTCACTCTTTACTACTCTCTCTCCCACCCTTACTCTTTATTACTCTCTCTCTCCCTTGCTCTTTACTCCCTGACCCTTTACCACTCTCCCTCCCTTACCCTTTACCACTCTCCCTCCCATACTCTTTACTCCCTGACCCTTTACCCCTCGCCCCCCCCTACCACACTGGCACTCACAGCGAACTGGCGGCACCAGACGGAGATCCACTTGACGTCATTGAGTGACCGCTGGCCCTTCTTGGTCACGGGGAACCTCAAGACGATGTTCTTGTTGCGGTAGGGGCCGAGGACGTCGTTCCTGGGGGCACGGGAGCTCTTAGTACGGGCGCCGGATTATTATTAACATCTTTATTGACAAAATTAATTACAATTTTGCCTAATCTGAGGATTTTGATAGTCTTATTAAAGTGAGGATAATGGTGGTATTGACTGTCACGCAGGACAGAGGGTCATACACAAGACAATAGGTCTAAACTGTAGGCTGAAGCACATATATATCATGGTTACAATCAATGTTTTAATGTATGGATATGTGAAAACAACTTTCTACTGTGCACTGCCACACAAGGGCAGGGATGTGCACTGCCACACAAGGGCAGGGATGTGCACTGCCACACAAGGGCAGGGATGTGCACTGCCACACAAGGGCAGGGATGTGCACTGCCACACAAGGGCAGGGATGTGCACTGCCACACAAGGGCAGGGATGTGCACTGCCACACAAGGGCAGGGATGTGCACTGCCACACAAGGGCAGGGATGTGCACTGCCACACAAGGGCAGGGATGTGCACTGCCACACAAGGGCAGGGATGTGCACTGCCACACAAGGGGGAGACAATGGAGCAATGGAACTATAAGGCTGCTCATGTTGATACTTAGAGCTCCTTAGAGCTCTATGGAGCTCTAAGGCAAAGTGGTTATGGATAAGATGCAATTGTGGAAGTCACTCATGAAGGGGGAGGAGTCTAGCTAAGAATTTATGGAACTGTGAGGGATTGATAGTGAAAGTGTAGTGGCTATTGTTGGTGATAGTGAAGGTGTAGAGGCTATTGTTGGTGATAGTGAAGGTGTAGTGGCTATTGTTGGTGATAGTGAAAGTGCAGTTATGCTGTTTGTGACATTGAAGCATAAGTTAATTCTGTTAATGGTGTAAGAACTGGTAAGGTTCAGGTCATTACACACACTGATATACAGATTATATAATATATATATATATATATATATATATATATATATATATATATATATATGTCGTACCTAGTAGCCAGAACTCACTTCTCAGCCTACTATTCAAGGCCCAATTTGCCTAATAAGCCAAGTTTTCCTGAATTAATATATTACTATAATTTTTTTCTTATGAAATGATAAAGCAACCCTTTTCTCTATGTATGAGGTCAATTTCTTTTTATTGGAGTTAAAATTAACGTAGATATATGACCGAACCTAACCAACCCTACCTAACCTAACCTAACCTATATTTATAGGTAAGGTTAGGTTAGGTAGCCAAAAAAAGCTAGGTAGGTTAGGTTAGGTAGGTTAGGTAGACGAAAAAGCATTAATTCATGAAAACTTGGCTTATTAGGCAAATCGGGCCTTGAATAGTAGGCTGAGAAGTGCGTTCTGGCTATTAGGTACGACATATATATATATATATATATATATATATATATATATATAATCTGACGGGAAGACTAACCTGAGATTGTTAACATTAACCATTGTGATGTAAACAAAGATGACAAGAGAGAGAGAGAGAGGGAGAGAGAGAGCACACTAAGGTGCCACACTGGAGCAGGTGTGTGAGCCAGGTGTGTTGACATTTGTTGTTGTGTTGTTTAAGATTCGCTACCTGGAACCAAAAGTTCCAAGTAGCACGGGCTATGGTGAGCCCGTAGCATTTGTGTTGACAGGTGTGGAGGGACTCACCTGCCTCGTTCATCAGGGATGATGAACCCGCGACTGCTGGGTTGAGGCGACTTGTTGCCCGCGAAGAAGTACGCATCTGCAACATGCACACTCATAACTCATCATGAATTGAACCATCAGGGGAAAGCGCCATGCCATTATGACTATATAGCACTGGGAAGGGGTCAGGATAAGGATTTGGGATGGGACGGAGGGAAGGGATGGTGCCCCACCACTTGAACGGTCGGGGATTGAACGCCGACCTGCACGAAGCGAGACCGTCGCTCTACCGTCCAGCCCAAGTGGTTGGACAACTCATCATGATGCAAGTGATGAACGTGGAGGAAACACCCAATTTTAAGCGTATTAAAAAACAATTTTTTCCCCCCAATAACCTATATCCTATCTCAAGTTACTGTATACAATATTCATATGTTGTATTGCTATACAGTATATTGTAGAGCATATTGTATACGGCACCTTGAGAAAGGATATAGGTTATATCCGAAAATTTGGTTTTGAATACACTTAAAATTAGGTCTTTCCTTCACTTTCATTTAACACTACATCATTGTAGTAACTTTCTGTACTCACTACAATGAAAATAATGATACAATAAGAAGATAACTAATGATAAGAACAAAAATAACGATAACTTTCTCTCGATAGTTTCATTGTAACTGAACTCATGTGATTGTGACCGACAAACCAATCAGTGGTGTGGGCGGGGCCTTGAGTTACTGAATCACTCCTCCAATTGGCGGCCAGTCTTACTTAAGGTTAAGATTGCATATGCCAGGAGCACTATGCTACTGGTGGGCACCTTATCCACTCGACCATCACGACCGGACAAAAGCTGATGGTAGCAAATTCTATTTGCCCATCAGCCCGCCGGCACTCTGATGGTAATCTTGGCATAGTATTTTATCAAATCACCTCATTCTTTGGACCATTCAGGCATATTCGCATTTGTGTTCCTCACGTGTGCCCCAAAGAATGAGGTGATTTAATCAAATATTATGCCCTAGATTACCATCAGAGTGCCGGCGGTCTGATGGGCAAATAGCCTTGGCTAACATCAGCTTTTGTCCGGTCGTGATGGTCGAGTGGATAAGGTGCCCTGTACACCAGTTCATGGTGCTCCTGGCAGTATGGGTTCGAGTCACTTCTAGGGTGTGAGTTTTCAGTATATATATTATATATATATATATATATATATATATATATATATATATAT